AAGTTAAAATTAAGTCTGAGAGAATCATCTTCATTGTCCTGGTTAAGTCTTGAGATAAGGACAAAGTGATCAGTCAAATTAGAGCATACACATATTTAACAGGCATCTGAGTTTAAATATCTTGGAACAACATTCACTGAAGATGGTAAACTGGATGAATAAATTAACATCCAATCACCATCACATCACCATAACTTCCATCATCATCATCCCTAATATAATCATCATCATCATCATCATCATCATTATCATCATCATCATCACCACCACTACCGTTTGAATGCATACAGCTGCCAACAAAATGTAACACAGACATATACCTTATGATGCTGCAGACGGACAGGCCAGTTAGAAAACGGGATACACCTAAAAAAACACAGTAGTCACAGGAGGAGTGAATAGTTACCAGCCCATTCTGTGAAAAGGGAACCTAGGGTTGGAAGGGCAAAGGAGAGAAATGCAGTTGGTTTCTGGACAGGAATGGAAGCGGTCAGAATGTGCTGAGAGGAAGAATTGTCTTTGTAATAAATGTTGTTTGCGTCGTGAAAGCAAGGGAATGGCTGCAGTGTTGAATCTATGAACAGAGAGCGGTTGTAAAGTCTACATTACTGATGATTCCATGCATGCTCATCAAAATGAGAAGCCTGGACTGAAAGGTAAATACTTGTGTGTTCAACAAACTTTAGTATATGCCATCTTTTGTGTCAGCCAACTCTACAACGACTTGATAACAAGACTACTGACTGGACTGATTTGTTGTCAGAACTGCAGTAAACTTTCGACTTACTCCAGTGGGTGTGGCTTACATCATTGTGCTCTAACTCACATAACAACATGATGGAAGTTAGAAACAAGTCCAGGCAGGTCCACATTGAATCCAAGGAAAACATCATTCCACTGAGCCTACAGCCTTCGACATGCTTTTCTTCAACCATCCATTTACTACAATTGATTGCCTCAACTATTTGTCCATAACTGACATCCTTTTATTGTGTCACAGTGATGTAGTGGCATCACATATCGATAGCTGGACTGCACACAACAGTTACCTGCAACGGTGCAGTTTTCTTAGGGAGAGCTTTCTTTAGGGGCCATTCACTTTTCATCTCTTGGAAAGTCTGCAGGCCTGAAGAGATTGGGCGATGGAGATACTCTGTGCCTGATCTCAGTTTGGGGTTGTCTGATTTGTAAATTCCGAGCAACACCTAAAAGAAAACAAGTAAACCTACAGGGTAAAACAAAAATAAACTCTATAAACATACAATTACTGAGCATTTTACTGTTGCTGATCAGTTCATAGAGGGTTATCCAGAGCCTTCTATGGCTGTCTTCCTTTTCATCTTTTTTCCATTAAAGTTTGCAGTTGTCACAACGTGTCCCAGTTTTTCATTTCTCATAATGCAGAATTTCAAAATGTCAAGGAGAATGGTTTTAATTCCGTGGTGAACAGTTTAGGAGAAAGACTGTTCACACAGCATTTGGGGAATTGGGGGTGCTATGGTGTAGCAGCTAGATGCTTGCCTATGGATCAGAAGGTCGGGGGGGTTTAGGTCCCAATGGAGCCTTGGCTCCCAGCTCGACCCAAATTAGTGGGTACCAGGTAAAAGTTCTGGGAAGTAGAGCTTGCCGGTATGATGTTGGCCGCATTACCCATCGAGTGTCAGTCGGTCTATCAAATATTGGTCTAGCCTTATATGCCCAATATGCCTGAAGGCGTGGAAAAGGGCTCTTTTACATTGCTTCTGGACAGTAGTACGAGAGTTGCATTGTGGAAGAGACCTGGACATCACCACATAATATTTCCACAGGAAGCAGCTGATGCGCTGCAGCCAACCTGCATTGTCATGCTTTCAGATTTATTGAGCATACAGGGCTAAACCTATATTTCATAGACCAATCAGCACTCAATGGGTGTGGTCAGCATCACACTGGTTAGCTTTACTTCCCAGGACTTTACCTGGTACCCATTTAAGGCTGGCTCAACCTGGGGGCCAAGGTCTTATATTTGTTTTTAAACAATCACACTCCATCAAGACCTGAATCCACGACCTCCAATGTGGAGACATCATGCATATATAGTAGAGCTGAACCAAACATTGGCTTCATATACGCTTTATGACCAAATAGTGGACCAAAGAAGTATTTGGTATTTGGCCAAATACTTGCAGTCGGGCCGAATACAAATAGTGGTTACGTTACATCCGCTTCTGCATCCCCATCGGCTATTGCAGCCCCTGCGAATTACTTGTTGTAATACTTAGAATACTTTGAATCCTAGTTATGAGTTACCACAGACTGACTGAAGAATGCAAAACATAAAATGTTTTTAAATGTTTACTATTCTGTACTACATTTTGTGAAGTAAAAGTTCAGAGTTCATATGACATTATAAATGGTTTTTTAGATCTATTTTATACACTATTCGTATTCGTGTTTGAATTCCGCCGAATAGTTGGTCCTGATATTCGTATTCTGCCGAATAGTGATATTTGGTTCAGCTCTAATATATATATATAATTATTTTTTTAAACAGTGTCAAAATGTGATGCCTGCTATTTTCTAATGTTTATGACAAACATAAACATGTCTTTATATCTCCTTTGAAACATTTAAATGACTTGAGATTCAAATCATCATGTGCTGTGCTGATAAGCGAAGACTTTTTATTTTTTAAACCATATTACACAATCACGAGAATCAGGAATCATGACAGTGTTCTTGTCTTTCCCGCCAACCACATGGCTCAGCCATCCAGGTATCATTTATTCCTTTGCCTTCCCCTGGTTCTCTTTCCATCAATCGTACCAGCCGTTTGCAAGTTCATGAGTGTATTCCTTTTTCTCTTCTTCTCTTTCTATCACAGGCTATAATTCTGGTTGTGCATCCCCTTCTTGACTTTGCTCTAATTCCAGAAATGGAGTTTTGTAGGCATTTCCATTTTACAGATCTGGTTTATTTGTATGCAGACTGTTGGTTCCTTCCCTCTCAGGCAGATGCACTCTGACAGAAATACCCATAATTAATCATTTCCTTCAACATGCTTGTTGTGTGTGTGTGGGGGGGGGGGGGGGGAGCCAGCCCTGTGTGCTTTCATAGCCAACACATCTTCAGTGTCTTGTATCATCCACCTTTACAGAGGTCGGCCTCTGCGTCATTTTCGGGAAACTGTACCCTCTATCACCTTTCTCTTCAGACCACCATCACCCTTGAAAGTTGAATGCTGAATTAAGAATCGACATCACAGCACTCCGTACACTCGCATAAGTGCTCAGTCCCCCATCTTCGGCAGCAAGCAAAGAGCTCTAATTCAGATGATACCAGTAACCATCTGTTTGTATATCCATCTCATCCTTTCTCTGAGTGTTGAGCGTCGGCCAAATCCCCTGGTAACTCCTCGCAGCGCCATTCTAATTAGACAGTGATGACCTATCTGCGCCTCATGCTTGACATTACCAAAATACCTCAGCTTTCAAGACAGGATGCTGTTTATGAGCCAATTCTCTTCGATGTTCAGGTCATTATATAAATGCAGCAATTAAATCTTTTAACAAACAAAAACACAAGAGGAAAAGAGATGTCACCTTGTATAGTAAAGTCACAGAAAGATCCTTTCTGTATTCTGGGGATGAGAGCAGTTGGTCACTGTCTGGTTTCAATTCTTCTTTCAGAATAGTTAGGGCTTCTGTAGACAAACAAGGCTTTTGTTTGTGAGGAAAGGAATATAACAGGCACAGTAAAGGTCCCTGTACAATTGAGAATATGAAGCTAGATTCATATTTTAACAGACCAATTGGTCCTTGAGGTGGGATGCAGTCAACAATAAGCTGGCTGCCTTTATTTCCCAGGAGTTTACTTGGTATCCAATTAAGGCCTAGTTGACCTGGCAGCAAAGTTATTTTTGGAAACGGAAACAAATAAATTAGGCTTCATGCAGGTTTGAACCCATGACCTTCAGATCGGCAGGCGCTAATCTAGCCGGTACACCACAGCAGCCTCAAAGCAATATAATCAATAACTAAAGGACCCTTTTCATGATATCAACTCACTGGGCATTAAAACAAGGGTAAAGATGAGAGGATAAAGTGCACTGCACCGGGTTTGATCCCACATGGCTCAGCCTCTCCTTCCCAGAACAGCTAGCCGCCTGCTGAAAGTGTCGCACCAGGCACAATCAGTGTAGCTCCAGCAGTGCTGGTTTAACGCATAAGGTCACTAAACTGCACCTGTGGGCTTCAGTCTGCAGAGGCCCCAACAAATTCCATTTTGTTTCACAAATGCAGTTTTCTTTTAACAGAGCTTTTTAGAAAATTGTACATAATTTCATGTCTGCAATTTTGCAAACACATCTTTTATTATTTCCTTTACTATAAATTAAATGAACATATGTTTCCCTTATCCACATTTTTAAAATCACCACTGATCACTGGCATCATGAGAGCTAATAGACTGAAATGGTTGGGGCATATTGAGAGAATGTCAAATGACACAGAAATGAAAAATGTAAACACAAGAGAGATGAATGGTCGTAGACCACGAGGCAGACCAAGAAACGATGGAGAGAAAATGTCCAGACAGACCTGCAAACACTTATTGTCACCAACTTGAAAGAGAAGACCAACCAGAGAGATCTGGTAAAATCTGGTAATCTTAGTTTCAGCTTCATAGGAGATGGATCACCCCAATCAGAAAGATGTATGGAGGCAGGTGATATCTGCAGCAATGAACCTCAAGGGCTCGGAATGTTAAAGAAGAAGAAGACATATTTAAAAGGTGTATATTTTTCAAAATTTTCGTAGATTTGCTGGTGTACTTTAAAAAGGTAGGGCCTCAGAGCTGTTCAATGAATCAAGGACCTTCTCAGCATAAGGCAAATGGCTTGGCCACTTCACCAAGGAGATCCCTGTACTGGGTATATGGTATTTTTCGACTAAATGGAATTCCATGGATCATGTGATCAGTATAATACCCCCCTTCACTCCCCAGGTGTAGATCCGAAGGTCGTGGGTTCAGGACTTGACGAAGCTGGACTTTTTAAAAATAACGACATTCTCTTCCAGGTCAATCTAGCTTTAAATGGGTGCCAGGTAAAGTCGTGGGAAGTAAAGGCAGCCGAGGTGAAACTGACCACATCACCCATAGAGTGCAGATTAGACTATAAAATATAGGTCTAGCCAATATGTCTGCAGGCCTAAAGAAGGACTTTCATTTTACTCCCTATGACATTCCCTGAAACATGTTTACCTAAGTCCCCAAGTTCTTTACAATAAAATGCTGAATGTTGTCTGGTGAACTAAGAATCGACATCGTGGCATTTGGGACACTCCAATAAATGCTCTGTCCCCTATTTTCAGCAGCAATTGAAGAGTTCCGATTCTAATTCTGATTGAGTATCCGTGTTGCCTTTCTCTTGAGTGTTGAGTGTCAGCCATTCTCCTCCGACCTCGCTCCCTAAAGGCTCTCACAACATCCAGCTTGTCATACATCAGTTCACCCCACCACCAAGTGGTGCAGAACCGTCTATCTGCCTGCTCATTTCCCAACACACCGGCATGACCTGGAGAAAATATCCAAAGGGCGCTAACCACCCGGGACCTCTGAAGCGATCTTCACAACAAAACAGTTACACTTAATTCACCATACCTTTCACAACAGCTCCTGATAGGGTTTTGTTGGTTAGAAACTCCTCTGTTTTCACAGCATGAACCTGTTACCATAGAATTCATTGTAGTTAAATCTCTGTTTCTTTGTCTCTAATTTTTTTTCTCATAAAAAAGTTCTCTATCTCTCTCTCTCTCTCTCTCTCTCTCTCTCTCTCTCTCTCTCTCTCTCTCTCTCTCTCTCTCTCATGTTCACAGTCATCCCCTCACCCCCTTTTCATTCTCTCAGTAATTATTTCTGATTGTTTCTATCATACACATACAGTCTCTCTCTCTCTCTCTCTCTCTCTCTCTCTCTCTCTCTCTCTCTCTCTCTCTCTCTCTCTCTCTCTCTCTCTCTCTCTCTGTTCACAGTCACTCCCATCTGCTTTCTGTTCTCTTAACTGTGATATCGTTGCTCTCTGCATCAATCTGGACTTATCTCGACTCTATACTTCCCTCCGTTATGAAGTAAACTATAAACACACAGATTTAGTCAAAACACAATGATGATTTTGGTACTGCTTATTGTGATATAACAATGGGTCATCCAGTCAATGCCCTAGGTTCTCCCTCTTCGTTTACTACAGACTGCCATGTGGGGATTCACTTGGGGATCTTGCATCTGGATCACAGTACCACAAATTTTCACAGTACCACAAATGATCACAGTACCACAAATTTTCACAGTACCACAAATTTTCACAGTACCACAAATGATCACAGAACCACAAATGATCACAGAACCACAAATTATCACAGAACCACAAATGTTCACAGTACCACAAATGATCACAGTACCACAAATTTTCACAGTACCACAAATATTCACAGTACCACAAATGATCACAGTACCACAAATTTTCACAGTACCACAAATGATCACAGTACCACAAATGATCACAGTACCACAAATTTTCACAGTACCACAAATGATCACAGTACCACAAATGATCACAGTACCACAAATGGTTACAGTACCACAACTGTTCACAGTAACACAAATGATCACAGTACCACAAATGATCACAGTACCACAAATGTTGACAGTAACACAAATGATCACAGAACCACAAATGTTCACAGTAATACAAATGTTCACAGTACCACAAATGTTCACAGTACCACAAATGATCACAGAACCACAAATGTTCACAGTAACACAAATGATCACAGTACCACAAATGATCACAGTACCACAAATGATCACAGTACCACAAATGGTTACAGTACCACAAATGTTCACAGTAACACATATGATCACAGTACCACAAATGATCACCGTACCACAAATGGTTACAGTACCACAAATGTTCACAGTAGCTAAATGTTACAATTCAGTCAATTCTATGCAGACATTCCCTTGCATTGCAGGTCCTCCCTCTCTCAGTTAACAATCAAAGTTCACATCAGTCGCTCCATTCAAGCAGCCTGTCTCTCGCACGGTCAAACACCAACTGACTTACCTTCAAACCTTTATCCTCATCCCACAGGTTTCACTTGCATTCGTTCATGCAAACACAGGAATATGCAAGTGTCCCGTTTCCATGTTTCCCCTTGCTTATCTGACCCTTCACCCTACCTCGTCATATTAAGGATCCATTTGGGATTCCTGGGAATCCCCTTCCCCTTTCCCATCACATTATTTTTTTCTGATTGTTTCTATCACACACACACAGTCTCTGTCTCTTTCACAATCTCTCTATCTTGTTGACAATCATCCCTCACCCCCTTTTCTCTGCCTGTATATGGGCACACAGGCATGTTAGTGTAAACAGATGACACAGCTCACACACTAAACAAAAGACTGTCTCAACACAACAGGGTTAACAAAAATTTCTTTTAAGAAACAAACAACAAACAGAAGACTCACAACTAATGACTGCTTCTAATGCCCTAACACAGAGTTATAGCAACAGCTAGCTGGGACGGAGGGAGTTAAGGTGCTTTCTTAATATCCTACCCCAAACACAGGAAATCCACAGGCCACGGGACAGTCTAATATTTCAGGGGGTGGTAGATAGGCTGCATGCAGTCGTGGGACCTAGGCTGCCCTCTCTCATGGGATGTAGGCGGGTTGGAGTTAGGGCCAGTTCTAGATGTTTTGGGGTCATTAAAAGTAACAGAAAGCCAGGAAACCCTGTCTTACCACCCTCTAAAATGTTGGACTGTCCCGTGATGTCATCTGGGGTAGGATATTACAAAAGAACCGGAGTTAATTCATGATGCTCTAATCACTTACTGTTTCCGCATTAATTCCACCATATACAAGAGAGGGGCGCTCTGTAATTCTACGATCCACCACTTTGATTCTGAAAGCAGCGTTCACATAAGCATGTGCATTCTGTGGATGACATATTAAGAAAATTTCAGAACAAAGTTAACTTTCATAAATTATAAAAGATGCAGATCCTCATATATTTATCTCATCAATACAACTGTCTAAAGAGCACTTTTCCTGAGTTTGAAACAGAATCAATGTTCACCCTTGGCTCCATGCTGCAAAAGTAACAGCACACCTTTCACTAGCTACACAAAATGGCAGGATACTTGTCATTTGCTGACCAAAGTTACAATTTTGCCAGATCATAGATGAATGGTGCCTGTTTGGATAACTTGCTTTGATTCAGGTGTAGAGTTTTTTATTTGTTGTAATAATAAAATCAGTCTCACTATTTAATTTAACGAAACAAATAAAAAGGCTTTTGTTGTCTTGTCTGTTCATTTTTCTGTTAATTCTTCTTCTTTTTTGTTGTTCTCTAGTCCTGTTCTACCTTTGAGCCTCAGGTGGCAGGCTTGGAATGTGATACATATATGCACACACTTTAATTAAGACACCTCAATAAGCGTACCGTCCCCATCTTCAGCAGCAAGCGAAAAGTTCCAATTCCGATGGTACCACTGACTGTCTGAATGTATATCCGTCTTGCCTTTCCTATGAGTGTTGAGCACCGGACAGATCTCCTTGTAACTCCTCGCAGCGCCATTCTCCTGAGACTGTATCGATCTATCCATGCCTCCACACAGTTCAATCACTCCCAAAGGGCCCTCACAACGTCTAGCATGTCATACATCAGTTATCCACCAAGCGGTGCAGAACTGGCCAGTCTATCTGCCTGCTCATTTCCCAACATACCCTGGAGAAAATATCCAAAGGATGCTAACTACCTGGGACCTCTGAAGTGATACTTGCCAGCTGCCATTATGTCTAAGTGACAGCGCTCTCTCTGGTGCACTATCTGATGGTAGTCTTGACCCATGTCCAAACCATCTGATCTGTTGTCTGTTGTTATTTTTTATTTTTATTTTTCCACTGATTAGGTCTTTTGTAGGAATGTTTATGTATATATGTACATGTCTTTTACAATCCCTCTGTTGAGCTTTCTAGTCTGTGTTGTATTTAGTACTTCTTGGAATCAGCTTGACTAAAGTCACTCCTAATCGTAGTCTTAGTCAAGTTTTCAACATCACAGCAATCGGGCTTCCCTGTACTTGCTCTGCTCCTGTGCCAGCGAACATCAAATGAAATGTTTTCCATTGTTGCAAGTGAAAAAAACTGGTGACCAAAAAACTAGTCCCAGAAAAATCCAGAAATATGTGCATAAATGCGTATTTTAGTTGCTGGAGGCATCAAATCCAACAGACGCCACCAGAAATGCAGTTTCTCGGTAATGGAAGTAATCGGGCATGTAAAGCTGGTTACTATACACAAGTAGAATTTTTACATAAGGTATTTCACGAGCTCACACGTAAACTCGCTACCGGCTATATTGAATACCACGACACAACCGCTGCACAAATGAAAGGCATTAAACTCAGTTGCTCAGGCAGCAAAACCGGAGACTACTTATAGTAGTCACTAAGGTAATCACAGTACTAATTTCACAGTAAACAGATCACCCCATTGGAGTTCCGCTCTTGTGCCAAGAAAACCACACAGAACGTCTATCACTGTCCCTTGAGAAAAAAACTGATACAGTCTGTAATTTCAGCTAAGCCAACAGCATACACAAGCATTCAATGCATAAGGCAGCAGTCAGAAGTTCCAACACAAACAGTCTTACTACTACAAGTGCAGTTCATCATCGATGGATGCAGCAGTAAAACTAACGTTGGTCTTACCATTTACACAGTGTTACACACTAGCTCACTTCTGATTGGTGGACCTCGATCCACGTTACTTTGGCACAAAGTTACGGGGGTTTTCCACAATGCGGTTGATATCGCGTGTTGTATATTTCAGCACACCAGCACTGTTAACATTCCAAAAACATTGACAAACTGGATCTAACACAACTTCCCCTAGAGAGTGCTGCAACCTATGTCTCAGGCATTCTCTTTCTCGGAATAAAAACATAAATGCAAGACAACCCAGAAAGCAAACAAACAAAGCGGCACACCAGTAACCTGCAGGAAGGTAGACCAGCCCAACAAACTTATGTATGGAATGTGACCTACTGTTTTTGGGGAGACCAGCATTAGTTTTCCTGGAAGTAGCAGTTACAAGAGATCAGTAGTTGCGCACTCAATTAAATCGCATAAGACACCAAAAGTTCTTTGGCAACAGGCCACTCACAATTTTCTGTATCTGCAGTTCACAACACAAACCACACAGGACAAAGCTGAAAAGTATTTTAAATGAAATCCGCAGCTCACATTGTTATACCATGCACTCAACTCAGTAGCTGGGTGATGAAACTATATTCTTTCAGTCTCCATATGGAGGCAAATGCAACATCTAACATTTGTCAAAAACAAAACTTGCCACGCATCAAAACAGTAAACCTGCCGATCTACCACAATGACAGGAAATCACTCTTATTAATGCATATTAAATAAACTTATACTGTTTGTTGCTTTACTTATAGTCTCAGGTGATATATAGGCTGTTTGATCACTAAACTTTAAAAAAATGAAAGAGTTGTTGAAGGTCTCGGTGGCAAAGAGATCAAGCCCTTGCCTCAATCTCTGAAGGTCTTTTGATTGTTTCACGAGTGCAGTTTTTACAGAAATCCCTCGATATCACTGCTGGAGATATGAAGTTTGCGCTTTGTGTGCCACTCTCAGCAGGAGTCTAGCCAATCTACAAAGAGAAACGGAGCCATATGGGATGAACTAGGGCAATGAAGTTGATTTTCTCAACTTCAATTAAAACTTTAAAGCTCCCTTCCCATACACTTAGTGTTCACCAGCTTTAAACTCAGGTGGAAAGTTCTGTTGTTCATCCACTTTTATTCTAAAACTGAGTTGTGTGTGCACATCCGTTTTACAGATCTGGCTTAACTGCATGCAGATGCACTCCTACTTTGAAGAAAACACCTCCTACATTATGTTTGTTAGGAAACAATGGGGCTGCTCCCCCCACCCCTCCAATTCCCCCTACCCCATCCCCAATGGGGCCTTAGAATCGACATGGAGAAAAAAGGTAAAGGTTGAAGACAATATGACGACAGTGTAACACAAACCTGCCATCTTGGTGTTATCTTGAATGATCTAAATACTACGTCATCATCTACTTTTGGCAAGTCCACAGCCAAAATCACTTTCCCAACCATCTCTGTCTTCAAGAAATCCAACAAAGTTGATTTTTTAGTCTGAGATGTCAGGCAATCTGCAACAGTGCAAACATTCTAATGTGAATACAACACTTGAGAAATATCAGCCGCAGACCAATCTGATAAAGGTAGCCAGTAAAAGACGGATTAGCAAGAGGCCAGACGTAGCAAGCTACCGTGAGGTGACACCTGAGAGAAAACCAGCCTCAGAACGACAGAGTATCAACGTTTTATGTGGACAATCAGCACAGACTGCTACTCCCACATTGGACTTCACAGTTACAGCAGATGCTGTTCCCAAACCAGCGGTACAAATCTATGCTCCCCCAGGACTGATGGTTACCTACTATACAATACTGAAAAAGTGATAAAGAAAATAATAGGGACAAGCGAGACTTTCTTTCAGAACTTGTACTCATAAGTCTTCAACCTGCAGAGGAAAGGACAGGTGGGCTTTTAACTTTTTTGGTCCCATACGGTTTTGTAGGAAAATATTGCCACAAAAACTCTAACCACTTGCTGTATAAGATGACGCTTGATGTGATGTTCGAAGAAATGTGATAAATAGTCAGTAACACATCATACATTGATTTGGGACTGAAAGAGTTAACCAGGTTGAAAATGGCACCATCAGTAAGGGAATTCTTTGTTGGCTAGCGAGGAAGGGGACACAGCATGTGTGAGAATGTTTTGAGTGCTGTGACGTCAGTTCTTGAGTCATTCAATCTTTCACTGATTCATTCATTCAACAACTTCACTTTGTCTATTGAAGAACAACTCAGGTCAGTGTTTCCCAAATTTTTCTTAGTTGTGGCACCTTTTATCATTTAAAATTTGTCCACAGTGCCCTAACCTAAGTAAAAGTATGACTATTTGTACGTAAGGGATTTAAAGAAAAAAATTCAACTCATGTATCTTTGAATATTTCGTGGCGCCCATGTGAAGAGGTCATGGCTGCCCGGGGCATCGCGGTGCACAGTTTGAGAATCACTGACTTAGGTAATACATCCTTGTGACTGAAGGTCTGAAAAATTCTGTAGAGAGGAGAAACTTTATCCCTGGCCTTATAATGGGCATCATCTTGGGAAGTGAGTGCCATACCTCCCTAAAGCACAATGAAAAACTAACATCTGTAGAAAGCATTCAAAAATCGCACTTAACCTCCCTCACCTGGATCTACACACCTGGTCATGCAGGCGTAAAGGTAAATGAGCAAGCGGACCAACTGGCAAGCATTGCACTAAGGCATGTGGGAAGAAGCCTTTGTCAGAGTAGATATTGTCAATGCTGTACGGACTGGGCTAGTGGATAATGAGGAATCCCTGACACTAACACGATTGCATGACATGGGAGTAAAGCATGGTGAAGCACGTCTATGCCGTCTTTGAGGCCGAGATAGGAGACAATATAACCAGCTTCTCATGGGAACAATTAGTAGAAGTTCTTTGGAATGGCTGCTGCATCAGAGGACTGAGCATCATGGTAATGCCCAATGTGCAGTGATGTCGTTTCCGATAACATAACATAACATATCATATGTCAAAAATTTGGTACAAGCACTGCTGAATGAATGTTTGTAGTTTACTAGTAAGGGTTTTGAACTCTCAGGATAACATCATGCATCTTCATTTAACATTGTTGCACATGTGCACGGTTACTACCAGGGAACATGCACAAATGTCTGCAATCAACAATGCAGAATGGCCACTCAGACTCACAGAAAACAATCAAATTGTTCTCCAGTGGATCCCGGCTCACTGCGGCATACCAGGAAATGAGTTAGCAGACACCCCCATTCATTGTCATTACCAGAAATCAGAACACTTATCAAAGGAAAATACAAGGGATTGTGGAGAGAACAAACTAACAGTTAACATCCACTAGACCCCATCAGCAGACTCAACAGAAAGCAATATACAACAATTTTCAGTCTACGAACAGGACACTGCCCTCTCAACTACCACATGCATAAAATAAAGATTCGAGGCCGAGAAAGGATACGATATAACCAGCTTCTCATGGGAACAATTAGTAGAAGTACTTTGGAGTGGCTGCTGCTTTCGAAGGACTGAGCACGCATGGGTATGCCCAATGTGCAGTGACGTCGATTGTGATAACAAAACATAAAATAACAGGCTCTCCTTTAAACTACGGCTGGTAGACAGCAGTAGACGGCCGGTTAGTCGGAGTTCAGTCCCTTGGCTACAGTGCAATTACAGAGTGGAAAAGGCACGAATCACAAAACAAAGTGACGTCGACGTTCTTTGCCAACTGCGATATGCCAACCGAGAAAATACTCATGATGATGTACTATTGGCTCTACGGTGTCAGTTCGACGACTGTCATGGTCTTCGAGAGACTCACGACCTGGGCCACCATTGTAAACTACACCACTTATTTCCGGCAGGAATGCTATAATTGGATGTTGAGACACACGGTGGAGTTGGGAGGACTTGATGCGACCAGCAGATCTGTCGTGGTTGACATAGATGAGAGCTGACCAACTTCGTTGACGTCGCCCACAGTGACATCCACACCCAAACGATTGAAGGGCTCTGGATGCTACTGAAACGCAAAATTCGGCACCAATATGGCACTAGCCGGGCGCTATTGCCTTCACATTTAGCAGAATTTCAATGGCACCACTGCCACAAGCAGCACATTTTCGGCCTCTTTTTGGAACTCCTGTCTCAAAATTATCAGATTTAGCGGCCGTCATTATGGGTAAGTTCTCGACGTTACATGTGTTACCCTAAACCTAACCCTACCCTACCCTACCCCTAACCCTAACCCTACCCTACCCTACCCTACCCCTAACCCTACCCTACCCCTAACCCTACCCTACCCTACCCTAACCCTAACCCTACCCTACCCCTAACCCTAACCCTACCCTACCCTACCCCTAACCCTACCCCTAACCCAAACCCTAACCCAAACCTTAACCGTATGATTATAGCAGGGCAGTGCACGCTGTCTATCGCCAACACACAGTAATGTCATTTATTTCGTTCCCCCCTTTCCACTCCGTAATTGCACTGCAGCAAGGGGATAGAACTCCTACTAACCGGCCATCTACTGTTGTCTACCGGCCGTAGTTTAAAGGACTTCAGAGACCCTACAAATAAAACCAGTCAGTTAGATAGCAAAAATCCCTTTCCAAGTTCAAGGTGTCTCCTTCGTGCTAAAACTTGTGAAAGAACTGCATGCGCTGTTGGCTTTGTGAATTGGACAGTCGTTAACAAAGGCAGTCAGGTTGTTGTAGAGGTGACGCCTGCTGGTGGATGTAATGTCCTAAGTCCTTTCCCCAGCTAATAGTGAGGGTACTGCTGGGGTGACCGTTTATTAACCCTCATATAATGCTTCAGGTAAAAATGAACGCTAGGCACGACTGTGGCCGTTGCATTTTTGCTCCATTTGTAGACTGGAAGGATATAGTTTCGACGCCCAGCTTCTGAGTTGAGTGCATGAAGCTGAAACTAGGATTACCAGATTACCAGATTCCACCAGTATCCTGCACAGGCTTTCTGCCTGGCTTGTTTTATGACCATGAGCTACCATCCAAAACACAGTCATCAAACAAATGTTGAATTAAGAATCGACAGCATAGCATTCAGGACACTTCCGTAAGTGCTTAGTCCCAATCTTCAGCAACAAGCGAAGAGTTCTGTTGCCCATGGCACCAGTAACTGTGTGACTGTATATCCTTTTCGCCTGTGCCTTGAGTGCTGAGCCTCAGCCAGATCCCCTGCTAACTCCTCGTAGCGCCAGTTTCCTCAGACCATAATGATCTATCTGTGCCTCGGCACTGTTTACTTGCTCCCAAAGGACCCTCACAGCATCTAGCTTGTCATACATAAATTCACCAGCGAGCGGTTAAGAACCGGTAAGTCTATCTGCCTGCTCATTTCACAACACACCGGTATGACCTGGAGAAAAAATCCAAAGGAAGTCAACACAATAAGCAGCAACAGAAAAAAAAGGAGATAATCAACACTTATAAAACTCATATTAATTTACCGTAAATTTCAATCTGAGCTCCAAGACTTTCAAGTAATGTAAAGATGTCAGAGGGAAAGTCGTTGTGTGCGTGTTTGATCATAAGGTTCCCAGCAATACAGCCAGCCTGAAATGAAGTATAAAAACAACTAGAACAGGGTAGGAGGGACACCCAACCAGCAGGCTGTATCATCATCATCATCATCATCATCATCATCACTGTCCTGTTGTGCCAATACATGTCATATAAGGCTCGCAGTCAATTCCTCCATTCTGTTCTATTCTGTGCAATCGCCTCTCTATCATGGATGGAATCTAGTTCAGCAACTTTGGCTTCCCTCATCAATGTTCACCTTAAGGTTTCTCTTGGACATCCAGAATTCCTTAATCCGTCTATTTCCCATTTTAGTGCCTGTTACTTTCTCTCTATCTTTTCTCAGAATGTGTCAAATATAGCACCATCTTCTATGTCTTATAACACGGGTAGTGAGCATTCTTTGGATATTTTCTCCAGGATATGCCGGCCTAGTTGGTAATAAACAGGCAGACAGATTGACTGGATCTGCACCATTGGGTGGCGAATTGATACATGACAAGGCAGATGTGGTCAAGGCCCTCTGGGAACAAGCAATGGAATTAGTCGAGAAACAAGATTATTATGGCCTGGAGAGAATGAGGCACCTGGGTGTAACCAGAGGGTCTGCCCGGCTCACTATATTCAGAGAAAGGCAAGACGGACATACAATCAGATTTTGACCGGTACCATCAGCATTGGAACTCTGCGCTGGCTGCTGAAGATGAGGACGGAGCACGCATGGGAATGCCCCAAGTGCTGTGATATCAATTCTTGACTCAACTCAACTCAACTTTCTGTCTTATAACTGTCGATATTAGCGGGTGCATAGACACTTCTCTAATTTCTTTACTCCATGAAATTCATCCCATTTTATAGAGAGTGCTGTAAAAGGTTCATAAAATCATTTGATCTCGCCCAGCCATGAAAACCTGCTAACAACACAGGCCTCACCAAAGACAGCCAATTCTATCAATCACATGTGAAGTAAGCTCATTAAAGATCTGACCTTCTTCTTCTTCACATTCACCGGCTGTAAAACTCCAAGGGTAACGGCGGCACCCTTCAGTTCACGGATGCAATTTTTATAGATATCTCTGGGGATCATCACCAGAGCTATGGAGTTCGTGCTCTGGGTGATGCTCTCGGCAGGTGGATAGCCATTCTGCAGACAGAGACTGAGCCATAGGGATCCAACCCGGTGCAATGAAGTCGATCCTCTCGACTTTAACCTTTTTAATCTTAAAATCCAAGGGTAAAGATCTGGTTGTTCCTCCACTTCTGGACTTTGGTCTTGTTCTTGAACTTGAGTTTTGTGCGCACATTCATTTAACAGATCTGGCTTAATTGTGTGCATACTGTTGGATCCTTGCCTCTCAGACAGACGCACTCTGATTTTGAAAGAAACACCCAAAATTAGTAATATTTTTACAGCGTACTTCTTTGGGTTGGGGTGGAGTGGGGGGAGGGGGGGGTCTATTCTTTTCTCCCCCAAATATGACCTTTTATTGACCAAACATAGCAGGTAAATTATTCAGTTAATAATTTCATATGACCTGAAAATGTGCCATGATAGTAAACATAGGCCATCACCATAATCATATCTGTGTTCTTGTCCCTCCCAGGCCATATTGTCAAGTTATACAGATATTTATATCAGTGTGTTCCCCTTGCTTCAACTTTATGTATACCTACATTCTTAACCATGATTTGATGCATGTCTTCATTTCAGTTACTTAACCCTTTCAGTTCCAAGGAACGCATCATACGTTTATAGGTTCCTACCTAGAAGCCCAATGAACGCAAGATGCACCAATTTTACGTCTCTCTTGACTAACCCTTGGGACTCTGATACTGAACCCCCTGGGACTCAAAAGAGGTAATTTTCATATACCTACATTCTTAACTTAATAAATTTCTTTATATCAATAACTTTACAGTGATATACTCACATTTTTAACTATGATTTGATAAATTCTTCATGACAATAACTTTATAGTGATATACTCACATTTTTAACTATGATTTGATAAATTCTTCACGACAATAACTTTATAGTGATATACTCTCATTTTTAACTATGATTTGATAAATTCTTCATGACAATAACTTTATAGTGATATACTCACATTTTTAACTATGATTTGATAAATTCTTCATGACAATAACTTTATACTGATATACTCACATTTTTAACTATGATTTGATAAATTCTTCATGACAATAACTTTATACTGATATACTCACATTTTTAACTATGATTTGAAAAATTCTTCATGACAATAACTTTATAGTGATATACTCACATTTTTAACTATGATTTGATAAATTCTTCATGACAATAACTTTATAGTGATATACTCTCATTTTTAACTATGATTTGATAAATTTTTCATGACAATAACTTTATAGTGATATACTCACATTTTTAACTATGATTTGATAAATTCTTCATGACAATAACTTTATAGTGATATACTCACATTTTTAACTATGATTTGATAAATTCTTCATGACTAAACTTTATACTGATATACTCACATTTTTAACTATGATTTGATAAATTCTTCACGACAATAACTTTATAGTGATATACTCACATTTTTAACTATGATTTGATAAATTCTTCATGACAATAACTTTATACTGATATACTCACATTTTTAACTATGATTTGATAAATTCTTCATGACAATAACTTTATAGTGATATACTCATATTTTTAACTATGATTTGATAAATTCTTCATGACAATAACTTTATACTGATATACTCACATTTTTAACTATGATTTGATAAATTCTTCATGACAATAACTTTATACTGATATACTCACATTTTAAAATATGATTTGAGAATTTCTTTATGACAATAACTTTATACTGATATACTCACATTTTTAACTATGATTTGGTAAATTCTTCATGACAATAACTTTATACTGATATACTCACATTTTTAACTATGATTTGATAAATTCTTTATGATAATAACCTTATTCTGATATACTCACATTTTTAACTATGATTTGATAAATACATCATGACAATAACTTTATTTACATCTAGATTCTTAACCATGATTTGAAACATGTCTTCAGTTCAGTGGCTGCGTGGTCTCAAGGAATGGTGTCTGCCTTGAGTGTTCAATCCCCGATAACAGCTGGTATTTTTTGTTTATAACGTGGACTTGGACTTCTAGTAATTCCCCCTGGTCTCTGAGTAGTGAGTTCGGACGCCCGTGTGCATTGTTGCGCATGCACACACAAAAAATCCCTTGGCAGTTAGACATCGAAAAGAGTTTAAAATCTACCTAAAGTATTTCAGGATCCTCGCCGGAGCTACAGAGCCTGTGCACTGTGCTTAGCTTTTTTGGACTCAGACTTGAGTAAGAAGAAGAACAGAGCACTTATGTATTACCATCCATGTGCCATGATGTTGATCCGTTGTTCAAAAACCTTAATTTTTAGATACCTACATTCCTAACCATAGCTTAATATATTTGTTCATGCCAATAGCTTCATACACATATACTTACATTCCTAACCATGATGTTGGCAATAACCTTGAGATGCCTGTGACAAGCAGAGAAGTATTTGAACCCAGGTTTCTCCTGGTTGGCTTTTAGCTGGTTCATGAAGGTTGTCAGAGAAGTGGCCGCACCAAATCTAACACTGTCCTCATTCACCTGTAATGGAATCACTGTTAATTATTTTCTAAAAACTGATGGCTGCTCAGAAAAACAGAGAATTAAACAGTATGATAGAATTACTACTAATGAGCTCTTGGAGAGAAACAAAATAACTACGAGTAGAATGACTTTGCACCGGAAACCACAGGGGCATATAAATAAAGGCAGACCACACACAAAAAAACACTTGGAGAAGGGAGCTAGAGAGTGACTTTAATAAGGACAAAGGGTGAGTTGCAAGCAACAGCAAAGGAAAGGATGATTTGGTGTGAGTTATTTGAGGGCCTATGCTCCATTAGGGGATAAAAGGCAGAAGACGAAAAAAGTGGAGGATAGTATGGTAGAATCACAACTGTTGAGAACCTGGAGAGAAACAAACAAATTTCAGTGTATCAAGAGTTGAATGCGAAGAAGAAGAAGAATGAAAGAATCTAAGTTTCGCTACTATACTATTAGAGTTAATTTCCTTGTGAAACAGCACATTAGTCGTGTTCGAATACCTGGAAAGAATATATCTCCTTGACACTGTGCAGGTCAATGTATACGTCAAATGGTCCTTCATTCTTGAAAATTCCTGTAATTGCAAAAATGGGAATAAAATATTTAACTTATATGTTTCACATAAACCAAGAAATGTATACTGGTTAATTCATACATAATTACCTTTACCTAACAACCGAATAGTTTCACCTTTCTGCCCTAATAAGCCCCGCAACCAACACTTCTGGTTAGTTCCAATTCTTCATAAATCTCACTTTCCTGACTGGCCTTTAGTGACCTGTTTATCTTCTTTCTTCTTTGCATTCACCGGCTGTTAACTCCGACGGAAAGTTCTTGTTGTTCGTCCACTTCAGAACTTGAGTGTTGCATATGCATCCGTTTTACAGATCTGACTCATTTGTGTGCAGACTGTTGGTTCCTTGTCTCTCCAGCAGATGCACTCCGACTTCAAAGGAAGCTCTCAATTAGTCAACTCTTACGACATGCTTTTGGGTAGGCAATGGATCTATTCTTGTTTTCCCTATAATAGGGCCCCGGAACCCAAACATTTTCCTCTGTCTTCCATCTGATGTCCTGGTGGGGTACAACATACTTACTTACTACTTATTACTATTGCAGACTATTATCCCTGATGATGCCAGTAATTAGTGGTGATTTAAATATATTATGAATGTTATTGTTGCTTCTCTTTCTCCATTCTCTTAAACATCATGTCGTTTCCAAACCTCCTGTGTTTTCAGTAGCAAGAATCTATATAATCTTATCCGATAGGTGATCCGTTTCTGTGAGAAAGAAACCACACAGAATGTGTCCCTTGCGATAAGAATTTATATGTATTTATTTATAGTTGTAGTCTCAGCAAAGTCTACAGCATACACAAGCATTCAAAGCATACGGCAGCAGTCAGAAGTTCCGACACAAATAGTCTGACAACTAAAAATGCAGTTCATCATTTATGGAAGCAGCTGTAAAACTAACGTTGGTCTCCCGATTTACACAGTGTTACACACAAGCTCATTTCTTATTGGTCGACCTTGAGCCATGTTACTCTGGCGCAAGGTTACGGGGGTTTTCCGCAATGCGGTTAATATCGCATGTTGTATATTTATTTATATAAGGGAAAACATCTAAATTTGGATGTAAAACATCCAAAGTGGCCAAACTGCTCATATAGCTAATATAGGCGGGGGGAAACTGCCAGTTACTGCCAGTTTTTACCACTTTTTGGGTGTAGATATGGGGGAGGGGGTGCGTCTATAAGACTGAGTATTTAGGGCCACAAGGCAAGTACTGTTGCCACGGACTGCGCAGGTTTTTTTTAACACCCCTGACAGAAAAAGACACCATCAACCTTACTGAGGATCTGAACCCGGGTCTCCCACGTTAGAGCTGTGTTAACCATTCAGCCAGCCGCTCCTCTGCCTGGTACGCCACTGGCATGAAAAGGGTGCTTTTTTAATTTCATTATTTTTTTATTTTTTTTTTTTATTCTGAAAAAGAAAAAAGAATTGTACTTAGGATTATGACTGACCTGATGCCGTGTTCCCAAAGAACAGCTTCACTTTCTTGTCTATGTTAGTCTTTAGCAGAACACTCAGGTCACTCAGCGATACTGGTCTAAAATATTGAACATGATATTTATTACTCCTTTATCTTGCTAACAATCAATTACAGACATAGCCATTGTAGTTCTGCCACATTTTTAATTCACACACAGAGAACTATACAAATTCCATTGAATTTTTAGGTGAGGAAAAGATGCTGGCATTGGATAGGTCACACTCTGAGAAAACCTGAGAACAATATAACTAGAAGGGCTTTCAGCTGAAACGCATAAAGACAGAAATAAAAGAAGACCACACTACACATGGAAAAGAAAACTAGAGTGTGAATTTAAAAAAGGATGCAGAGGACAAAGGATGAGCTGCATGCAATAGCACAAGATAGAATGACTTGGCGTTAGGTGGTTCAGGGCCTATTCTCTATTGGGAAATAAAGGGTATAAGAAGAAGACATTTTAATGCTTAACTGTCATCATCATCATCCTCATCATCATCATCATCATCATCATCATCATCATCATCATCATCATCATCATCATCATCATCACCATCATCACCAATTGCTTTGCAGACAAGGGTGGATGATTATGATTTGCAAATTACACTTTCAAATGGCGTGCATACATTTGACACTTCTCCATGCCATGACAAAGGATCATCAAGAAAATTCTTTAAATGTTTTCTTAATATCTATTTCCATAAAGCTTTCCAACTGTTAAATGTTCCATTTCCCATTCCTCACAGCATGGCTAAAACATGATTTTAGTCTCTGGGTTATGATAATTTGTCTATGTGTTTTGGCCACTTTCAAAACAGTAAGATTACATATTCTGGCTGTCAAAGGATTTTGCTATAAAACTGCAAATCATGTCTCGTGTGCTTCAAAACAACATCACTCATGCTGCTACTGCTCCTTTTCCCCAAACATAATTCTGTTTCCACTTCACTCATTAGTATACTTGCTACGTCTTTAGTTCGATCAATTCTGATTCTCTTAACCTTAGTCGAGGTTTCAACTTCACCGCAATCTGGCTTCCCCATACTTGCTCCGTTCCTGTGCCAGTGAAAAAATCAAATGAAATGTCCCTCACTGTTGCATTTGAGAAACTGGTGAACAAACAAGCAGTCTCAGCACAATCCAGAAATATGTGCAGGCAGTAAATGAATATGACAGTTGCCAGATGACAGTTGCCAGAATTGCCAATGCCAACAGCTGCCGCCAGAAATGCCAATGCCAACAGCTGCCACCAGAAAGACAGTTTGTCATTGATGGAAACAGTCAGGCAGGATAAAGTTGACTATACACACTTAGAATTACTTCATAAAGTATATCACCAGCTCACATGTAAACCGGCTAGCAGCCATATTAAACACCCTTACACAAAAGCTGCACAAACGAAAGGCCTTCCACACAAAAAACACAGCTCACAGGGCTGCACCAAGCACTAAACTCAGTAGCTAAGGCAGCGAAACTGTACAAAACCATCCATATGTGATAACTGCATTAGTAAAGCACTGTCAGAAGCAAACATAACTTTGAAGCTTAAAATTCTGATTCTGCCTCTGGCCAGCCCCTTCACTCAGTCTAAAGTGATTAGAACCCTACATAAGTCTGATCCCTGCTAGGACACTCTGAACCACTCCTCTCATCACCCAAATGTATCAAGCTTGCACACATGTCTAATTGTGTCTTCAGCTTGCGCCATCCAAGACATTCATCTTTTCAGTTGGTGACCTTAAGCTCTACCAAGGACTGCATGCAGGAGGTGCTTCTTGTCTGTAGCTAAACTCAGATATTACTTTTCTTGCAGAACTTTGAGCCTATCTGCAATAGTAGGCAGTGCAAGTGTATACCACATACATATTACCGGAGTATCTCTTGTACATCTTCAACTGCAGCTGAAGATGGAGACGGAGTGCTTGTGGGTGTGTCCCATAGTTCAACATTCAACATTAATTCAACATTAAGTTCTATCAACAGGTGGAATACCATCAATCTAGCCAGATTACAGAAACAGCTCTCTGACTATTACCTCACTTGTGCAGCATCTTTTACACACAAAAACGGACACTCTTAGAAGTTTGATTTTACCAAAGGCACTATTTTGAATTGAATAAACATGTTATAGACGAGGTTTAAGAATATCACGGGTAAATAAAAGATCAAATCCATACTTAAAGAATTGAATTAATCAACTAACAGAAAGTATTGTGATCGGCACTCTGTTTATTTAAAGAATTGAATACTGAAGAAGGTTGGCTATTAGTTGTCTTTTAAAGACGATAAAACCAGGAAAACTGAAATTGTTGGTCACTTGAAATGTCATGAAAGTTCAGAGAGAACATTAATGGAGCGGTATATGCCTGGAAAGAAAGGAAGAGGAAGGCCAAAAAGAAAGATGGTTGCAGGATGTGGCGGATGACTTCCAGATGAGTGTATCGGACGCAGGACATCTTGCTTGGGATTGAGATGTTTTCTGGAAGATTGTTATAGAAGCAAGGTTCTGCAAAGGACGGGCTACTGACTGAGTGACTATTTTTATTTTGGGGGCTTAAGAAAAGATTCACTTCCCCACTAAGCAGCACGTCATAAAAAGTTAATAATAAGGGGTGTTTTCTTTGACTGCACTTGCTTGAGAGGCAAGAAACCAACAGTGCATACAGATGAACCAGCTCTGGAACAAGACCAAAGTTCAGAAGTTGAGAAACAACCACAACTTTTCGCCAGAATTTACAGCCGGCAAACACTAATTAAATGAAGGGAGGTTCAACTGAACAACAACAACAGAAAATCTTTTACTGCAGTTCTATTCTAATTTCCTCAATCAGTAAATTATATAATTCGTAGGTGCTAACTACCTTAATTAGTAAAATACATCCTAATTTTTCAATTCCAACTACCTTATTTAGTAAATACATCCTAATTTTTCAATTCTAGGTACCTTGCTTAGTAAAATACATCTTAATGTTTCAATTCTAACTACCTTGCTTAGTAAAATATATCCTAATTTTTCAACTCCAACTACCTTGCTTTGTAAAATACGTTCTAATTATCCAATGCTAAGTGTCTAAGTAGTAAAATATACTTTCATTTTTTTTTCAATGCAACCTGAAATAGTAAAACACATTTTAATTTTTCAATGCTAACAAATTAATTACAAAATTATAATCTAATTCTCTAAATGCTGGTTATCTAACACAGTCTAATTCTCCAATATTAACTGCTCAAAAAAAAAGTAATAACAGTATAGTTCTCTCAATGCTGCCTAAAAATAACAAACAGTATAATTCTCCCAATGTACACTAAAAATATATTCTAGTTCTCTCAATGTGAACTTCTAGATGAGCAACAACAACAACTTTCAGGGTTACCTGTTCCACTTGGTTCCTTGTATTTGGATGCTGAGGGCACGGGATCCTACCCTGCAGCTATGGTCACCTGAGCATGGATCACCAGTGCGCGGACACAGGTTCTTGTTCAGATCCTACAAAATAAATTATAAATATAACCATGGCCATATTTATTGTTGTTCCTGTGTGGGCCTGGGGTCCCATTTTGGGGGGCTAATAGAAAAGACCCACTGACCCCCCCTCCCCCATCCCTTACAAGCACGGAGTTAAAAAAAAAACTGACTTATTAGAGGTGTATCGTTCGACATCAGATTGCATTTGCTTGAGACATGGGAAACCAACAGTCTGCATACAAATAAGTCAGATCTGTAAAATGGATGTGCATGCAAAACTCAAGTTCTGGAACAAAACCAAAGTCCAAAAGTGGACCAGAACTTTTCTAACGGGGTTTACAGCCGGTGAATGTGAAGAAGAAAGTAATTGTGCAACACATGCAGCTGCACACAGTGATAACATTTTAGGGCTGGCAAAATTCAGAGGGTGACAAAACATAATTAGTCGTAATGTAACATTTACATTTTGTTTTAACTGCTTTTATCATTATGAAATCCTTGTTATACCGGTGTTCTGGTATGAAAATAATCATGCTTGCTGAAAGTGAGAGAAAATGAGGGGCGTAATATAAATGACAGCACAGTAGTTCCACACAACCTGAATAGTTCTAAATATAACAATAACTATAACAAAAATTTATAACAAACCGACTAACATGAGAAAGTTGGAACTTCTTCTTCTCAAAGTCCATGCCATGTGGCGTTGGTGGTAGTCATGTCTATCCACAACCTTCTGTCTCGTATACTTTCAATCAATTTAGACACAGATGATCCTCCATGCTATTATTATCCCATTATTGATAACAGGTATTAGTACTCTGAAAAATGAGTACTTAGAAGGGCCGAATGTCAGACGGGCCTGCGTGCCCAATTTGTAACCCTTTGAAAATAAAGTTTGTTCGTTCGTTCGTTCGTTCGTTCGTGGTGGTGTTGGTAGTCATTTCTATCCACAACCTCCTGTCTCATGTACTTTCAACAATTTGGATACAGACGATCCTCCATGCCATGATGTCAAACTGTCCAGCATCTTTTCTTTTATAACAATAATTTATAACAAATGGACTAACATGAGAAAGTTGAACTTCTTCTTCTCAAAGTCCATGCCATGTGGTGTTGTTGGTAGTCATCTCTATCCACAACCTTCTGTCTCATGTACTTTCAACAATTTTGATACAGACAATCCTCCATGCCATGATGTCACACTGTCCAGCATCTTCTCTTTTGGTCTCCCTCTGCCTCTCCTCCCCTCCAACTTTCCATGATGATGTACTCCAGTTTTCTCCCTCTCATTATGTGACCAAAGAATGTAGACTGTCTCTTAAGACTTGGCACATTCAAATTCAAAGCCCCTTCCTTATTCATGCACTGAATGTGTCATGTCTGCATTTGTTTCTTTCATGGGTTTTTACAGCATACTCCAGCTATCCCCTTCTCATTATGTGACTTAAAAAGAATTGCTGCCTGCTTCTGATGTTTGTAATCAATTGTTTTTAGTGTTTTAGCCTCTGTTAAAACATTTGAAATATTTCAATATTATAGTAAGTCAACTTTTTGGGTGCCGATAGCCAACAGACCACTGTTGCTCTGAAAGGTAATTTGTTTCGGGCTAGGTTTTGCTGATATAAATTCCCCATTTCTGGATCAGGAGTTTTACGAGTTCTGTCACCCAGCTACCGAGTTGAGTGTTTGATACAACACTGTGAGCTGTGGATTTCATGTGGAATATTTTTTCCTTTGTGGCCGCAGTGTGTTGGTGCCTGCACTCAAATGGCGGATGGTTGGTTCAGTTCAAAATGGTGTGTACTTGCTGGCTTCTGTGACTGACCTGGAGCATCAACAGTGAGCTGCAATGTTGGTGTGGGACCGTAAGTGTTGGCACATCTGACAGATACCTTCTACATTATTACTTTGCATGTGCAAGTTTAAAGATTTTGCTGGAAGTGACATATTTTTCAATAGTTTTCAGATAGAATGTTGAAAAACATTTTGTGTATGTTATGTTATAATCAATGTCATTGCACATTGGGATTCCCATGTCTGATATGTCCTCTGATGCAGCATGATTTTCAGGGTACTTCTAATAATTGTCCCTATTGGTGGTTTTTTATAATGTCTCCTATCTCAGCCTTAAAAGCAGCCTGTTTAACCATGCTTTACTCCCATGTCACGCAATTGTGTTAGTGTCAATTTGTCATTAACCACTAGCCCAGTTCATACAGCACTGATGATATCTGCTCTGTCCATGCTGCTTTTAAGTTTGTCTGCTCCATCATTAAGCTTTACACCAGCATGACCCGGTGTTTAGATCCAGGTGAGGGAGGTTAAGTGCAATTTCTTAATGCTTTCCACCCATTCAGAGTGCATACTGCCTGTTGCTATCTTCTGGAGCATGTTCACGGAGACTGATACAATTACTGCCTGTGTGGATGTTTGCTCTGCTGCCCATGGTAGTGCTCTAGAAGGAGTGGCCTTCCCCATAGTCATGCTTGATGTAGTTGTCTGGTAAGCACTGCTGTCCACTTGTATACGTTTTCCCCATCCTTTGAGTTGTGTGTGCCTATGCTGACACATTTTGTGTGGATTCCACTGGCACTGGAACAGAGCAGTTATAGGCTGACATGTGAAGAGAAGTTGGAACCTCGACCAATGACATATTTTTAGTAAATAAATTTAAAGTTAGTAGGGTATTCTTTACAGGATGCTGCAGAACCACCCCCCTAATTTTGTGTGTGTGTGGCTTTAGTAGTTTTTCTAGGCAAAGTTTTCGTTCAGTATTTTGCCAATGCTTACTGAACGGTCAGCTCTCAGTCCCAATGTCAAAACCAGCGTAAGACCAAATGTCTGCGTTCTTAAGTCACAGACGTTGATAAATTAGAACACTGCACACAATTGCCTGTATGTTACTAAGGCCCTTAGCATAAGCAAAGAATTGAAGCATCCTCCCATACATTTTGTAAGTTTTATAGGGTAGGAAATTATAGGGAAGAGAAAAAGGGGGTAAGAAAGAACAATTAGTTTATGTTAGCTTTACAAAATTGATCACAATAAACAAACAAAGGATGTTGCGGCGATCCGCCTTCATCTGCACAGAAAGAACAACACAGTACACATACACAAATATGCTTTAACTATGAAGTGACTACATAGGACTCTAATGTGCAAAGTAAATTATACTCATCTGTGTCTCTTCGTTCAAGAGGATGAGTAGGACTGGTACATACATTCTGTAGAAAGTGACTAAGGGAAGGACTGGTCTTCGGATAGGCTACCTCGGCTCATCCTAAAAAGCTCTAGCTGCAAAAGACAACCATCTTCTTTTTTCTTCTGCATTTACCCTTCAAATGACATTTGGCAAATTATGTTGTGGTTTACAGCTAGGCTGCTGGGTTGAGTCAAGAATTGACATCACAGCACTCGGGGCATTCCCATGTGTGCTCTGTCCCCATCTTCAGCAGCCAGTGCAGAGTCCCAATACTGATGGTACCGGTCACAATCTGGTTATATGTCTGTCTTGCCTTTCCTATGAGGTTAGTGAGCCGGCCAGACCCTCTGGTTACACCCAGGTGCCTCATTCTCTCCAGGCCATAATAATCTTGTTTCTCTACTGACATCGTTACCTGTTCCCGAAGGGTCTTGACCACATCTGCCTTGTCATGTATCAATTCACCACCCAGTGGTGCAGATCCAGCCAATGTGTCTGCCTGTTTATTACTCACTACGCGGGCATAGCCTGGAGAAAAGATCCAAAGTATACTCACTACCCGAGACCTTCCTAGTGAAGCTTGCCACTCTGCTTGAAGCATCCCTGTCTTCACCTTTCTTAGCATGCCTTCAGAGTCTGTTACAATTACGACATGTACAAATACAGGTAGGCTGTGCTATATGTATCTTTGGGCCCAAAACATCTGATTTCAGCAAAACCCTATTAAGTCCCCTTTCACGGCATGGTTGTTTGGGGCTATGGGGTCTATTTTTTTCATAGAAAATTGAGTTTCGGAACTCTTGCAGGAAACAATCTACTGTTAGTCGACGGCCTAGTCTCTGTTGTCTCCGTTGCTGGGTTAAGTTCTGAATAAGACTGCATAAAATAATGATGTGGTGTACCTGATCATTTAAATCAACAACTGCAAAGGATAGTAAAGATTCCTTTTCATGCATCCTAGGCGCATAGGGCATCTGGGAAGAGCACCCATAATTTTACAGACCAATCGGCACTAGGTGGGTAATGTGGTCAGCATTACACCGTCCATCTTTTTTTCCCTAGGACATCCATCCTGGTACCTATTTTAGGCTGGGTCGACCTGCGAGACCCCATACCATGATTAAAAACCCACACAGCCAGCAGTGGGTTTTGATCGCAGTATGTTGGAATTACGAGTCGGACTGGCAATGCCTAAGCCACGGACACCGCCAACTGCAAAGAATAGGAAATAAAAAGTTAACCATTGCATGAGTACAGGACAAACCTCAATATCAACAGCTTTGGCACCCGGGATGTTTGCATCTGCAGCAAAAGACTTCATAGCATCCAGGATGGATCTGTATCCCGTACAGCGACAAATGTTACCATCAAAGTTGTCTTCAATATCCTGGCTAGTTATGTTTGGTTTCTGGTGGAGCAGGCTGAAACAGTACAATTTATCATTGTTTTGTTTTTTTTCAACCATTCACAAAAATTCTTAGATTGTGCCGCAGAGCAAGAAGAAGAGAAACATCGACACCCGGCATGACCTGAACATTAAGAATAATTGGCTCATAAACAGCATCCTCTCCCGAAAGCTGAGGTATTTTGGCCATGTTAGAATAGCTAGCTGACCTGCCAATAGTGTTGTACAAAGCACAACTTAAATTGCTGTCATAGCTGAAGGGGGGAAGGGTTGAGGATAAGTTCTTAACTCTCACCTCATATCCCTGAGGCATGTGCATTCATCACCTTTGACAGCAAAAGTCTAACTCCTGACCTTCTCGTGGCGAAACTTTTTAAACCAACAGGAGAAGGGGTAATAGCCAGTATCTGGCGCCGTAAAACCAGACAGCTTCTCGAGTATGATCACAATCTACCCTAGCAAAATTAAATATTGAAGTCGAAGGCATCCAGCCAGGAGGCGCATCATGGCAATCAGGATGCCATGCACACACACCACGGAAATATGCCTGGATCAGCTTTGGTGACAATATCCTGGGATCTCAGTTAAAATTAAATTGCATCCATGAACCTCAATGTGTCTGTGAATTGAATCCATGACCTTCACAATGTGGGAAAAACAGCTTGATCACTTTCCCATGGAGTCCCCTGAAATGAAAAGGTCCTAAATCTAGAATTATAAAAAGTGATATTTTTGACATCTTCACATTCATCTTCAAACTGAAAAATGTAAAAAAATTATTTTAAAAATGTCTCCAGGCTTCAGACTGAAGAAACCTCAAATGACATCAGGAAAAGAAGTTCTCTCTACTTCAGACTGAATATCACAGCATAATATGAACGAACAAATGAACTAACTTTATTTTCAAAAGGCCACAAATTGGGCCCTTCTTTCACACATAAATTGAATTTTATCAATAAAGCATGTAATGGAAAAAAAAATGCAAAAATATGGATGACGAATGCATGCGGGCACACACCCAGTTATGCATTCACTCACTCATTAACTCCTCACTCACTCATTCTCACTCTCACGAAACAAACATACCAAACATACATGCACATACATACATGCATGTGTGAGTGTGCGTGTGCTCGCATGCGTGCATCAGTCTGTCCATCCGTACATATATACACAGACACACACACACACACACAGACACACACAAACACACATGCATACTACATGCCTACTCATTGATATTGATACATACACTCTCATATACCCTCATAGAAATATACAAAGACTGATACAATATAAATATACCCAAATGTTTATATATAAACATTCATACTCATGCAAACAGACTTGATCATACACACATACACGCACGCACGCACGTGTGCATACACCCCCCTTCCCCTTTCCCCCATTTAGTGGGGAAATGAATAAACCCACTGTTGAGAGTTTGCTGAAATCTGTGTGTGTTGTGCTGAACTGCATAAATATTGCCATCTAGCTGTAAACCCCAATAAAACTTGCCAAAGGCCATTTTGAGGGTGGCTGTGGTGGCAGTGGAGGAGGAGGAGGAGGGGGAGAAAGAAGAAGAAGAAAACGACTAAATAAATTCATAGGCTAATCCGATCAACAAATGCCTGCAGAAGTCAGATGTGTTGGCTGAAAGGTGTAAATATCACAGTCGTGCTGTAGACAGACACAACAAAATTACATATTTGGATGAATGCAGAAGAAATACATTCAAATGAAATGACAAAGAAAAGGTAGCTTTCATGATTCAGAATTTTAAAAACTTAAATGAGATGCGCAAAATAAATTCACATAAAATGACAAAAATATGTACTCTTATTTCAGATAAAATAAACCTCAAATAACATGACAAACTCACCCATACATATTCATAACCATGCCTGGGGTACAGTAGCCGCACTGGGTGCCACTGAAGGTGGCAATCCTCTCCTGGATGGGATGAAACCCATTCTGCTGGTTGCCAATGCCTTCAACAGTGCTGATTTGCCAGCCATCCACAGCATACAATGGTGTCAGGCACTGGTAATGTATCCACAATTAATGATACATGCAGTCAATAATTTCAAAACAATTCTTTGCACAACATAGAGACCACATTGCAAATGACGATGTTCACCGTATAATTATCCAGTACAGTGGCAACGATGAACCTCTTTTCTTCTTCTTGCAGTCCATGCCGTGTGGTGTTGGTAGTCATGTCTATCCACAACCTTCTGTCTCATGTACTTTCAATCATCACTGACACAGATGATCCTCCATGCCGTGATGTCAAACTGTCCAGCATCTGTTCTTTTGGTCTCCCTCTGCAACTCCTCCCCTCCAACAGTCACGATGTACTAATTCATCATACTGGGAAATACCTTTGAGATTGCAGGGAATTCCCCTCATTACAGACGTATGATCATACTGCTACTGGTACCATTTGCCTGGAACTCTTTACTGGCTGCTGAAGATTGGGATGGAGCACTTATGGGAATGTCCTGAGTGCTGTGATGTTGATTCTTAGTTCAACTCAACTCAAATGTGTTACAGATTACAGTCAATGATTCATACAATCAATGATACATACAATCTGTGATACATACAGCCAGTGATACATTCAATATGTGATACACACAACCTGTGATAATACAATCTGTAATACATTCAACCAGTGATACATACAATCTGTGATACATACAGCCAGTGATACATTCAATATGTGATACACACAACCAGTGATACATACAGTCTGCGATACATTCAACCATAAGATGTTGATATAATTCTGTTGTAATGAATCTGATGGAACACTGTGAAACATGAAAGGCATTAAACTCTGCAATGTACTGTTTAGTTCCGCATTATTTAAATGTTACCAATACAAAGGTCAAATGTCTCTGGCTGTACTCACCGACTGCACACTGTAGGTCTCCAGTTTCTCTGAATCCGGTGATGGGTGTGTCACTGTGACGGAGCAGCATCCACACCCAGCCTCTCGGCACATAAGCTTTGTGCCCTTCAGTCCAGCAACCTCGCGGAGGTAATCATTGAGAGAGGTTGTTGTGCTCAAGTTATTGGGCACTGCAGGTCAAATAAACAAAAGCAGGTAATGAAACAGTGTAAAGTACCGTATTTTAGAGTGTGTAAGACGCTCCTATGAGACCATTTTTTTAAGCCCCAAATTTAAAAATAAAAATGTTAAACACATTACATGCATAAAAGAACCCAGAATTTTGATTTTTTTTTTTTAAACGGAAACCTATTATCTTATGAATGGAGATGGGTGATATCTGCAGCAATAAATGACAAGGGCATGGAATGCTGACGAAGAATATCGTTTTATGCACGGAAAAAAAATGGTAAGTAAAGTAGAGAACCTTTTGATGCTAGACAAGCTGATACATGATGGATGCTGTTCTCAACCTCACACCTGCCATCTTTACTTCCCAGATTACTGATTTCAGAATCGACACCATAGCACACTGAGCCCCCTCCGTCTAACACTAGCCTCTTTCAGGGCTTCAACAATCTCAGCATCAATCTCTAGACCATCTACCCTCTGTCTAATTCAAGTCTCTTTCAGGGCTTCAACAATCTTGAGCATCAATCTCTAGACCAGCCACCCTCTGTCTAATACAAGTCTCTTTCAGGGCTTCAACAATCTGAGCATCAATCTCTAGACCAGCTACCCTCTGTCTAACACAAGTCTCTTTCAGGGCTTCAACAATCTCAGCATCAATCTCTAGACAATCTACCCTCTGTCTAACACAAATCTCTTTCAGTGCTTCAACAATCTCAGCATCAATCTCTAGACTAGCCACCCTCCATATAACACAAATCTCTTTCAGGGCTTCAACAATCTCAGCATCAATCTCTAGACTAGCCACCCTCCATATAACACAAATCTCTTTCAGGGCTTCAACAATCTCAGCATCAATCTCTAGACTAGCCACCCTCTGTCTAACACAAGTCTCTTTCAGGGCTTCAACAATCTGAGCATCAATCTCTAGACTAGCCACCCTCCATATAACACAAATCTCTTTCAGGGCTTCAACAATCTGAGCATCAATCTCTAGACTAGCCACCCTCCATATAACACAAATCTCTTTCAGGGCTTCAACAATCTGAGCATCAATCTCTAGACTAGCCACCCTCCATATAAAACAAATCTCTTTCAGTGCTTCAACAATCTCAGCATCAATCTCTAGACTAGCCACCCTCCATATAAAACAAATCTCTTTCAGGGCTTCAACAATCTGAGCATCAATCTCTAGACTAGCCACCCTCCATATAACACAAGTCTCTTTCAGGGCTTCAACAATCTGAGCATCAATCTCTAGACCAGCCACCCTCTGTCTAACACAAGTCTCTTTCAGGGCTTCAACAATCTGAACATCAGTCATGGTACTGATTCAGACATGAATGTTACATATATATTTAGTCTATAATTTGCAAACGCTCAGCATGTTTGGGAGGATACTAATCTACTTGAGGCACTTCAAACATTAGTGCAGGAAGGACCAGGTAGCCGGCATTTGGTTTAGAAAGGATGCTCTGACAAGTGGAGTACTGCACTTTTGATAATGCAGCTTCTGCAGTATGCTTTGTTCCAAACAGATTGCTGTTACCTTTCTGTTGGAGGCAACAAAGCGGACAGGAAAGTACATTTCATATGGAGTTCACAAATCGGCCAGGAAAGTACCTTTCATTTGGAGTTCAAAAAGCAGACCAGGAAAGTTCCTTTCATTTAGAGTTCACAAAGCAGGCCAGAAAATACCGTTCATATGGAGTTCACAAAGCAGACCAGGAAAGTTCCTTTTATTTGGAGTTCACAAAGCAGAAAAGGAAAGTACCTCTCATTTGGAGTTCACAAAGCAGGCCAGGAAAGTACCTCTTATTTGGAGTTCACACAGTAGACCAGAAAAGTAGTTTTGTATTGAGTTTACAAAGCAGGCCGGAAAAGTGAGCATGTTGCATGGGAAACATATGGTCTCTAAAGTACTGGCCAGGTTTCGTGCTGTGAAAAGAATGGACTGTGATTTCTACGTATCCCTATATGACTATTCACAGGAAAGATAGAAATGTGCCAACAAACACACATACACTCAGTATTTATATTGTTCACTAAAACACAAATTTAACATGCACAGAACTAAATATTTAATGACTGTGTGAAAGATTAGTGGATGGAAGGGCTGAACAAAAGATTAGCCCACATGTCCAATTTGCAATGTTTTAAAAAAAAAAGTGGGACCTGTTCACGTTTCCAGGCCCAGGATTAGAGTAATTTCCCTCACCATTCATGCCTCTTAAGGTCGCTGGACCTCTCCTATGTTGCAGGGGTGTTATGATATGGCTTGGTTTGCCGTTCACTTAGCCTATGTAATGTTTGTGGGAGGTTGTGTTGTTGGAAGTCTATTTCAGATTCCGGAGGTCAAACTTTAAATTTTGAGACTGAAAAGACTCACAAAGCATGCTGAGAAAGGTGGATGCAGGGCAGGCATGCTCCTTGCAGAGTGGCAAGCATTGCTTTGGTAGTAGCAAGTAGTACTGAGTGTCCTTTAGATCTTTTCCCTGGGTCATGCAGGCGTGTTTTGAAATAAACAGACAGACACATTGGCAGGTGCCCTACCTGTGGGTGAATTGATGCTTAGCATTCTCTAGAGAGGTGACCAGAGCTCTGGAAAACACTAAAAACTCAGAGAAAAGGTAAGACAAATATATAATCAGACTGCTGCTTGCACCATTGGTAACAAACACTTTGTGGTGAGCACTAGAAAATTTAATTTTTTTTTAACATAGAAAAAGTTCTTCTTAGGACATAACAAGCACTACCTTTATGTTCCTCCCCATTGATAAAGAATCTAATTTCTTGATCTTGAGCATCTCTGAAACAGAAAACAACTCACAATTACAACAGAAGAATGCTGACCAATGTAATGGAGTCTGAGGAGAGAAGAATAACCCACTGACTACAAGCGTTGCACGTTATGTGACGAGGTGACATTCATTTCTTGCTACCAAGGTTGAACCACTTGCGATTGTAGCTTTTGACGCTTGCCGTCATGTTAAAATTGCGATTTTTTATGATGCCTTTAGCTTGTTACCTTCTGTATGATTAATTAAGGAAAATGACTTTGTAGTGCTTAAGGTAAATATTTGACGAATTTTCTTAGTTAGCTCCCGTGTCGGTGAGACACTGATGAAATTTTCATCATAGCGTCAAATGCTCTGAACACTCGTGGTGGTGATATTGCAGCAGTTTTTGATACTGATAGTTCTTGTAAGAGTATTTTCAGTCAGAACCCACAGATTGTGAAGATTTTGAGGCTGAGTCTGCACATGACGAAGATATCATTGTCCACTTTTGATTCAGAATCATCATTATCTGACGAGTCTGAGGAAGATTTGCCAGGCCCACCCCTGGTTGATGACTGGCATTGTGATTTGGAGGGCTTTCCTGAAGTACCGCCATCTACTGGCACTTCTTGATTATTTCTGCCAGAAGGAACAAATGAACCGCTGGATATTTTTAATATTTTCTTGCTGTGTTTGCTAAAGAAACAAACCATTATGCTGAGGCATAGATTGATGTGAAAACAGACAGCGTTTTGCCAAGAACTGGAAACACACAACCCCAAATGAAGTGAGAGGGATTCCTGTACTGTTGCTTCACATGAGTGTTGTGAAAAAGCCATCTATTTCAGACTACTGGAGCATACATCCATTTATCCACTCACCATTTCCTGCCACCATCATGTCACGGAGGCGTTTTCAGCTCCTTCTATGTGCATTTCATATTGCAAATAATGCTTTTCAGCTGCCTTTTACAGATCCCCACCATGATCCATTACATAAAATACGATTTTTTTTATGAACACTTGAGAAAGCTGTTCAAATCATTGTGCACTCCAAGTTAAAAAAAAAAAAAACATGCGTTGATGAAGCCATATGCCCATGGAGAGGACGTCTTCGTTTCAAGGTGTACATAAAAGATAAACCCAACCCATGGGGTATAAAGATGTATGAATTGTGTGAATCAAGCTCTACATATGTGTTTGACTTTGAAATTTATGCCAATGTGCCTGGTCTTAGCAATAAGCTAGTGGATATTTTTGTAATTCTCCTGCAACCACTTCTAAATCAAGGTTACTGGTGCTACAATGATAATTATTATTCATGCCCTGAGCTGTCACATCGACTACTGCAGAAAGGAATTATGACAGTTGGAACTGTTCGTAGCAACAGAAAAGGCATGCCCAAGGATTCAGCAGCTCATAAACTAAGTCCAGGAGAGACGTCATTTAGAAGGCAGGGAAATCTCACTGTAATGAAGTGGAATGACAGACGAGAAGTCATTCTGATCACCACAGTCCACTATCCTTCCACAATGACTGAAGTTCAGACTAGAACTAGAAGGCAGATAAAACCTGAAGCCATCAATGATTATTCCCATAATATGTCAGGAGTTGACATCAGTGACTAACTGCTAGCTTATGTTCCTCTTACACATCTTTCTTTGAAATGGTGGTGGAAATTATTTTGTCATTTGTTAACTTTTACAGTTATTCAGAGTCACATACTGCATCAGAAACTTTTAATGACATTTAAACATGAGATTAGGTTGTTTTATCAGTTTAGAAAATGGTGTGCAATTGAATATCAATGCAACAAAACAAATGAAGAAATATACAACTCACATTTATCAAATTTTACAGTCAAAATTTGTCAGTGGTATGGTACAGTTCAAAACATTGTTTAATACAATGTGGCACCTGACAGTCCTTGCACCTGTAACTTGTCATGGTCCCTTTGTGGAAGTGAAAAATGGGAAGCAACATCTGAAGTTGCAGAATTTTATTTCACAGCTGGGGAGAGCTCTCACCCAGGATTATTTCAGCAAAAAGAGAGCAGCAACACCTTGTGGTCCCAAAAAAAGTGTAGGGCCCTTGAAGCGTCTGACAGACAGACACTTTGCTTCTCCACTTCCACCAACAGCTTCAAACTCAAAACCCAGAAGAAGGTGCACAGTGTGTGTACAGACAGATAAATGTAGAAATCCAGAAAATAAAAAAGGGCTACAAAATTGATTGATTACTTCCCGTCATTTTCAGGATGAAGTTTTTCTTTATTTGAAGCCCTACTCTGGCTCTTGCCAGGGGCTGCAATATAGCCAGCCTAATGGCTGAATGCGGTTTCTGGAACCTCTCCACGGTGATCCTCATCCGCATGGTGGCACGTGGTGTCATTAGGTGTTTGTCGCTTGTGTGATGTCCTGGTGGGGTAGAAAGTCAGTCAGTCAGTCAAGGCCACAAAGGGACCATGACAAGTTACCGGTGTAAGGAATGTCAGGTGCCACATTGTATTAAACAATGTTTTGAACTGTACCATACCACTGAGAAATTTTGACTGTAAAATCTGACAAATGTGAGTTGTATATATCTTCATTTGTTTTGCAGCAGATGTGAAAATACAATATAAATTGTCTTGAAAGAAATTTACTTGCAAAGAAAACTGATTGTCTTCATAAGAAGTGGCTTTTTGCAATTTTTGGGCACATCATAAGAAGGGAAAAAACCGCAGTTGTCATGACAATTGGAAAGTTAGAGGTGAAAAAAGCCGAATGGAGACTAAAAGAAAAGATGTTAGACAGTTTGGAAAGAAAGAAATCATACAAGCAAGCAAGCAAGCAAGCAAGCAAGCAAGCAAGCAAGCAAGCAAGAAAGAAAAAGAAGAAAGAAAGAAAGAAAAGAAGAAAGAAAGAGAAAGAAAAGAAAGAAAGAAAGAAAGAAAGAAAGAAAGAAAGAAGAAAGAAAGAAAGAAAGAAGAAAGAAAGAAGAAAGAAGAAAGAAAGAAAGAAAGAAAGAAAGAAAGAAAGAAAGGAAAGAAAGAAAGAAAGAAAGAAAGAAAGAAAGAAAGAAAGAAAGAAAGAAAGAAAGAAAGAAGAAAGAAAGAAAGAAAGAAAGAAAGAAAGAAAGAAAAGAAAGAAAGAAAGAAAGAAAGAAAAAGAAAGAAAGAAAGAAAGAAAGAAAGAAACAAACAAACAAACAAACAAAGAAAGAAAGAAAGAAAGAAAGAAAGAAAGAAAGAAAGAAAGAAAGAAAGAAAGAAAGAAAGAAAGAAAGAAAGAAAGAAAGAACGAAAGTCAGAGAGACAGGCAGGATGAATGGACAGATGAACAGACAGATAGACAGACGGACGGACTGACAGATAGACTGACACAGAAAGAAAGGAAGAAAGAAAGAAAGACCCCCCCCCCCCCATATTTAACAGAACCCGCCCCCCCCCCCCCCATACCTTACAGAACCACTCCCCCCCCCCCAATACCTAATAGAACCCGCCCCCCCCCCCCCACAATACCTAACAGAACCCCCTCCCCACCCCAATACCTTACAGAACCCCAACCCACACCAATACCTTAAGACCCCGCCTTCATTACCACCTCCAATACCTTACAGACCCCCCCCCCCCCCCCCCCTAATACCTTACAGAACATCACCCCACCCCCAATACTTTACAGAATCCCACCCCACCCCCAATACCTTACAGAACCCCACCCCATTACCACCCTCAATACCTTACAGGACCCCCCCCCCTCTCATAACCTCATACCTTACAGACCCTTCCCTCCCCCAAATAACCAACCGCAATACCTTACAGAACACCCCCCCCCAATACCTTACAGAACCCCACATCACCCCAAATACCTTACACCCCCCCCCCCCCCCCACCCTCAGTACCTTACAGAACCCCCTCCCACCCACTAATACCTTACAGAACCCCACCCCACCATTCAATACCATACAGAACCCCTAACCCCCCCCCCCCCCCCCCTAATACCTTACAGAACCCCCCCCCCCAATACCTTACAAAACTCCACCCCAACACAATACCTTTCAGACCCCCTCCCCTCATAACCACCCCAATATCTTACAGAACCCCCCCCCCCCCCCCCTTCCAATACCTTACAGAACCCCACCCCACTCCCAATACCTCATAGAACCCCACCCCATAACCACCAATTCCTTACAGACCCCCCCCCCCCCCATAACCATCCCCAATACCTTACAGACACCCCCCCCCCCATACCTAACCCCAATACCGCCCCCCCCCCCCCAATACCTTACCCCCCCACTCCCCCCCCCAATACCTAATACACCCACCCCCCCCCCCATAACCATCCCCAATACCTTACAGACCCCCCCCCCCCCCCCAACCATCCCCAATACCTTACAGACACCCCCCCCCCCCCCCAACCCATCCCAATACCCTTACAGACCCCCCCCCCCCCCCCAACACCTTACAGAGCCCCCCTCCCTTTTCAACCATCACAAACACCCTACAGACCCCTCAACTCTCCCCCCCCCCCCCCCCCTCCCACCCCAATCCCCAACACCACTGAATTAGTCTTTAAATGTATGGATTCTCTGCCTAATCTCTGTCCGAAAGTACATTTGTCTAAAAAAAAAAGTGTCAACATCATGAAATGGAAAAGCTCTGTGCCATAGGGGAATCATTAACATAATTTCAGCTCCAAGGTCGATGCAAATGTGAGTGACTACGCAAAATGAAAAAGTAGGCCAAAGTATGAATTCCCTGTGAAACTGACATTACAACCCGAAACAATTCATGTAACCTAGGACTTTCTTGAAAACTCCAAGGTCGCCCTAGCCTTGAACAGGTACATGGTAAAGGTAAAGGTAGCTGGCAAGATGTCGACCACATCACCCAGTAAGCGTAAACTCACTTCCATGTTACCGCTTCAGATGTTGAGGGAGAATCAAGGTTCTGCAATGTTGTCTCTAGTATGAACTTCACTGTCTTTTTTAAATCATTCAGAAGTCTGTAAAATGTGGTTTCCACCAGTGCTTCTATTGGCCAAAAGTTT